CTTCCGATCGATTAAAAAGATTCCATCTTATCCACTTGTACCACCATACCTATCATATTTGTCTCTTTCCCAAAAATATATTCAAAATATCTCAGATTTATTTTTATTCAAAAAGGTGCCGCCATAGAGAATCGATCCAACTTAAATTCGATAGATCTTAGCTATGTTCGATCAATCTCACCACAAGTTCGATCGATTGAACTTCCCAAATCCTGAGAAAATCCAAATTCCAGCTCACTGAAAGTTGTCTCATATCCAATCATTGGGAGGAATATTAGTGTACGAGCCCAGCTCATTTGGGGTGATATGTAACCTACCTATATAAGGAATATGAGCCACTTTTTGAGAGATATACTTGAGAGTAGATAGAAACGCAATTTCTATATTTTTAGTGAAGAAGAAAAGAAAGGAGTAGGCTAGAGACACAAGCTTGGAGTTCTTCCATCAACCAAGAAGACGAGCAATCTCTACCATAGAGTTAGCCCTTGAGGGTTGGAGGACACCATCCATGAGTGGCTAGACATCCTCTTAGGGCTAGAGTTAGCCTTAAACATGCTTTCTACATCTTGATTTATGTATTTTTGAGGGGATTTGTATTTTGATACATGTTTTGACACTTTTATATATATAGATCTTGTTTATTCAATGATTTGTGTGGTTTAATGCTTCCAATTGATCATTTCATTCTATCTATATGTCTATGTATGCTAGAATAGATGTTCATGTGTTTGTCTTTATTTCTTGTGTTATTGATGCATGTCTAAGTGTATTAATGCTATAGATTTAGAGATTGTCAAGACATAGTGCTTAATGGAATGTTCTTGTGGTTTGTTTGATGGTTTATACTCATTTCTTGATAAATTGTGCCTCTCCCTTAGTTTAATTAGTTTAATTTCATGTCATTAGCTTAATTGTAGTGTAGTTGTAGTTTAGATGTTAAATGGGAGGACAATCCATGCTGTTGTTTGATGTTCCATACTTACGAAAGCAAGTAGTATATATCTCTAACCTTGTGATGTGCTTGGATTGTCGGCTTAAAGAAATGATTAATGGCTTAGTTTGATATATTGTGCTATCCACCATGTTGCTTAGATAATATATACTTAATTTATCATCCATGCTTGTTGAAACAACCACACACACACACTATGTTGCAATACATGTTTCCCCCCTCATTAATCATTCATTAAGAGTGTAGAAAAGCTATGCTTAGTGGTGATCTCTAAACCCCAAGATCTCTCTCTTATTTTCTCTTCATCACATTTAATTGCCTACTTTAGTTTAAATTGCATCTTAGTATAATTCAACCACCAACCAATCTTTTGATCACTCGACCTACTAACCCTAATCTCGATTCCACAACCTAGTATGATCCACCAATTCCTTGGGACGATCCCTACTTGCCCTAACTATATTTTTAGTGAAAGGTAGTAGTGGCAAATTCTAAATGTAAAACTTGGCCACATTCATCATAGCTCTACACCATTATCTTTTGGTGCACAAACTTTTGGGTTTTGGGACGCGACAAACCATACCACCAATCATCTCTATCGCCAAATTCTGGTTCCTCACCTGTATGAATGGGGGAGTAAAATGTTTCCTTCTCAACTTCATGTTTAGAATTCTGTGGCGCATCTTTCTCCTCAACTGACACTCCCCCATCTGCTCTAGAAACAGTTGCTTTTCTTCTAGCCCTTTTTGACTTTTTTTCTCACCAAACTCTCCATTTGCTTGACCAGCCTCTTCAATGTTTTTTTTTTTTTTTTGTTTTCTGTTTCTCTTTCCATTTCGTTGCAAATATCTTTAACGCAACGTTACATACAAAATTGTAATTGGTTGTCATTGATCAATTACATATTTACAATTTCATTCATACTCATTAATCGTAAAGTAATATATCGTTACCTTAACCTCACTTTCCGAACAACTACCATTGTCTTTTTCACCTCCCGACCACGACGACGATGGAGAATGGGACATATTTGCCTAAAGAGGAATTAACTGTTCCATATAAATATTTTCAACCTACTGTACTTAAGCAACGAAATGGTATCATAAAATACAACAAAAAATGGGAACTTGAAAATACTTTTTAAATTTACTGTAATACCTGACCCAATCTAAAACTTTCCATTTTCAGCTCCCATTTTAAGCTTTCGTGTACAAGGGCAGTGTCCTAAAAACCAAGGCTGGTTTTATCACCGGTGTTGGGATAACAAGGGTATTGCATTTTACACCTCATGACATATAAAAGCTGAATTGAATTGCAACGTGTTTAATCAGTCATGATTCATACTAATTACATAAATAATAAAGTAATTTGCAAAATATAAGTAGGTTATGTTATTTACTTGCAGGAAGAGCACGCATCAAGTATACTTATGCTTTATTTTTTCACCTTCTTCACCTTCTTCACCTTCACCCAAGTGATCCATTAAAGTTTGAAGCACAGATGTGCACCAGTTGTAAGACTTTATTTCATTCACATTATGAACAACCTTTAATTCTTTTACATGTGCACTGTAACGTCCATTAGGTGTTAGAAAAGCGGCACATGCAAAAAATACAAAGGCTCTTTAGAAATCTTTGCCTGGCTCTGATTGTTCTACCATTTCCATCAAAGTATTTACATGCAAGCCATTGCGATGTCCACCTTCACTTATCCAATCGGCATCAAATTGCTGAGATGTAGGCACAGTCGTGATTCCAGCAGGTAAGCTGAGGGTATTGTGAACATCAATTGCATTAATTGGGAGATATTGATTATCATCAAGTTTAATGCGCCATTTCTCTAACTCTAAATGCCCAATGATGTAGTAAAAGGTGGGGTAGACAAATGCTCACATTGTAGGTTCAACAAATTGCTGAAACCTGTATCTGCAACATCCTTCCTCTTTTCCTCTCCAAGTTTGGATACTGTGTTAATGAATTTGGAGATCCAACATTTGTTCCACCCAGTTTTAACGAGTAGATGATTTAGGGGGGGGGGGGTATACGACCCACAAAAGAAGAACGATTACGGATGCTTCGCATCATAGATTGGAGAGTAGGAGAAGGAGGCGGATGTATGATATTGTCCGCCATTTTTTTCCGTATAGGTATTTTTTTTGGTAAAAAAGGAGATTTCTTTCGAGCTATCAACTTCTGCCGACCCATTTCTAAACCAGTCTTTACATCGCACTAAACCAAACTCTATTATGCACGAACAACCTTTGGACCAATTGTCAACAAAATTTGAACTACAAACACATAAAACGAACAGAAAATTAACTGCAAATATAGTGCAGCAGGAAACTCATACCACCCAAGAATAGATACGACACACCAATTACCATTAGAAATTGTATAAAATATAGCCTTACAATAATAGAATGGAATTTTTTTTCTAAGATCTTAAATTGGAAGTTTAAAATTACAACCATGTTACTTTATTTATAATTACCAATCATAATTCTCAATTACAATTACAAATTGTATAAAACATTGGCATAAAGGAATAGAATGGAAAATTTATTCTAACATCTTAAATTGGAAGTGTAAAATATCCATTCCTTATCATAGAGAATATCCCAACTATTTTGTAGTACTTATCACGAATAAAATACTGCCTTACAGGACTAGAATGGAAAATTTATTCTAACATCTTAAATTGGAACTTTAAAACCTAACATAACTTATAATAGAGAATATCCCAACTATTTTGTAGTATTTATCACGAATAAAGTTTTCATAGTTTCGCATTCATTTTTCCACAATTTAATAATATTTCACGAATAACGAAAGTAATGAAAAACAATTTCATACAATTCAAAATTTCATATGTAAAACACTGAAATAATGAAAAATACAAACCCTAGGTCCCTCCTAACAATAAATACCTTAACCTGTTTCTTGCATTAACAAAAAAAAAAAATCATTTATAAATAACAACCCATAAATAAAGCTCAAACCTTTCTTCAAAAGCTCTTACTCAATGATGAACACTTGGACGAACCACGACTTCCCTTCAAGATTTTCAACGCCATTGCTAGTCCTTCAACGCTTTTCTTCCAATTTCTGTTCCAATTCCTTCAGCGCCCTTCTTCCAATTCCTTTAACGTCCTTCTTCCAATATCTCTTCTTATGTAGAAAGGGGGATTTCAGAAAATATACACTATATCAATGATGTGTTATACTGCCGTTCCAATTCCTCCAACGCCCTTCTTCCAATTTGTGTTCCAATTCCTTCAATGCCCTTCTTCCAATTTGTCTTCCAATTCCTTCTCTTGACCTAGACAACAATTTGGGAGGGAAATGAAATGAAATGAGAAGGGGGGATTTCAAAAAATGTGTACGCTATATAATACTCTGTATATATATACACTATATAATATATACAGAAATGGGGATTATACACTATATACAATACATATACAGTAAATATACACTATGGAGTAACTTGGGTTACTTTCTTAAGAGTGTTTTTTTTTAAAAAAAATGACGTGGCCCATTCCGGGCCACACCATTGAATTGGGGGGAACAAGTTCCCTGTTCCAATGGAGAGAATTTTTGTCCAAGTCGGCCTAGCGAAACATAACGGTAGATTATATTAAGAGTTCATGAATTCTTAGTACAATTTACTCTACCAACATAACACTATAATTTATTCTATAATTCATGCTAAGATTTTATGTTTACTGTAATATAATCATGAAATTCACATAATAGTTTTAATATATTAAAAAAAAATGTAATATGATTGTATATTCTTATCTCCTTTTGCTAGAACAGAAAATATTAATTAACTAAACAAATTTAAACTTAGTTATTAGATACTAGTATAAAATCTCCCATGAATGATATAAATTCTCATTTACTATCTCCCTTTCTTATTATCTTATCTTTATTTATTAGTTGCATCTGTTGAAGCAATCTTTAATCTATTTTCTCACTCCTAATTATTTACTCCGACCCTCATTAGTAACTAAATTCTGCTATCACACCATCTCTACGCTTTAAAAAAAATTATTCCAAACGTGTCCCTCTATAAAATGAGTTTATTTTTTCCCACTCACGAACCAGAGACCATTTCCTCTCTGAATAGTTCAATAGGCCTCCAGCCTTCCTTCCCTTCTCCGACGTCGGTCACCGGCGACTTCCACTGGACTAACCACCGTCTCACACTCCAGGTATTTTACTTACCGATTTTATTTCTGTATTATATATTTATATTTTGGTGATTTTGTTATTGGGCTTCAATTATTGCGATTATTTTGATAATTAAAGGTGAGAGGTAGCATTGATAAATAGGACTATATATGAAGGAAAAATATGTTAAATTTACACAAATTCCATCATTTATTTGCAAAACAGTGATGTGCCAGAATTTCGTTATAATCATTTTTTCCCCCCCATTTTATAGATTTTTTTGTTCACAAGAATTGAACTACGACAGCATCCTTTTTTTGGTCTTGAACTTGTGCAGTAGTGAGTTGTATTCATTTCACATGTTAGTACTGCAACTCTTTGTGCTTTTTCTGATGGCTACCTAATACCTTCTTGTAAATAAATTCTTTTCAAATTATTAAAATTTTTGTCTTGGCACCTGTTGATCTCTGCATTCTTATTCCAGCTGGTCTCGTTGTTGGAAATGCTGTTTCTTGAGAGTTCAACATTTGGTACCATTGTTGTTCAAAACATTTCTTTTTCAATTTGGATTTATGACAGGGAGATCTACTATGGAGGCCATTTACTTAGTGATAGAAGAATGTAGAAGTAAGCAAACAGATTTACACATGGTTTTCATAGACTTAGAGAAGGCATATGCTAGAGTTTCAAGGGATATAATTTCGTGGGCCTTACATAGAAAACAAGTCCCCTTAAATCTTATGAACATTATTAAGGTTGTGTATGAGGATACCAAGACCAGGGTCCATACTGTTTGTGGAGAAACTAACGATTTCTCTGTGAAAGTGGGTTTACAGTTACACCAAGGATCGGTACTTAGCCCATACCTATTTACACTAGTCTTGGATGAGATAACGAAGTATATACAAAAAGACATCACATGGTGGATGTTTTTTGCGGATGACACAGTGTTGGTGGATACGTCTAAGGAAGACTTGAGTATCGAATTAGAGACATGGCGAAATGCACTAGAAACAAAAGGTTTAGAAATTAGTAAATCTAAAACAGAATATATATGGAATGTTAATTTAATAAAGAATCGGAAAGTAATGATTTAAAATTAGCAATCCAAGATCATATGGTCACTAAAAATCATCATTTTCGATACTTGGGATCAGTAATACAAGAAAATGGGGAAATAGATGATAATATTACTAGAAGGATTGGAATAGGATGGACTAAATGGAGACAAGTTAGTGGTATCTTATGTGATAAAAAAATACCAAAACAAGTTGAAAGGAAAATTTTATAGGACTGTTATTAGGCCAACTATATTATGTGGGGCAAAGTGTTGGGCGTTAAAAAGGAAACAAGAAGAGCACATTCACTTGACTGGTATGAGGATGTTGAGGTGGATGATAGGAGAGACAATAAAAGATGTTACTAATCAAAATGTGAGGGAGACTCTTGGCGTAGTTCCTCTTATTGACAAAATAAGTGAAAATAGACTTAGGTGGTATGGACACAGAGAAAGTAGACCCGTTGATGCCCCGTTAAAAAAGGAAAAGTACTTTGCATGGACGGTAAGAGAAAACGAGGATGACCAAAACTAACATGGAATGAAGTAATTAAAAATGATTTTAAAACATTAAATCTTAGAGGAGACATATTGTATAATAGAATAGAATGGAGACAGAGAATCCATTTGGCCGACCCAATTCATTTGGAAAAAAAAGGCAAGGATGATGATGATATATGGATTTAAATACACATGCTTCTAAATGCATATGTTAATATATACATGTAATTGTGCAAAAACAATGTTATGGAGTTCATTTTTTCAATTGAATTGAAAATTTAACTATCACTATATGTATTTTTTCTTGGTAGCACATGTACACACATTCATATATATATATATACACACACACACACATGCACGCACATATACTTATATATATACATATAATTTTGGGAAATCAACGTTTTGCAGTTCAAATTTCTGTTTGAATTGAAAATTTTGTTACCGTATTTCTTTCTTTCTTTATCGTTCTAATTTTTAATTTTTAATTTTTTTATAGACATTAAAGCCAAAAGTGTGAAGGAAGTCGTGTAGTGTAATGAGTGGGGATTCAACGTTTAGTAATTTATATCCATCCATAGTCATCAGAATTCAACTAAAAATACAATTACCGATAAATAAAATTCTAGTGTGCATTGTGCATGTTAAATCCATTAGGGACTGACAAATACTAGAACTCCCATCATACTAGATAATGGAACCCACATAAGGTAAAGCACAAATATTAGGAATTCAGGACTATCTAAGAAAATAATTTAAAAATTACTTAAGTGTCTTAATCCCTTAAACAATTCTCAAATGCTTGAATTAAAATCAATAGACCAAAGAAAAAGAATTGAATTAAATATATATTTATATATATTTTAAACTAGACTAGACTCTATGCCCCCAAACTTGAATTGGACAATGTCCTCACTGGGCAAAAATCAAAATCAAGAAAAATAACAACTACTAAGAAAAGAAAAACAAAGAACAAAATCACTTGGCAGGATATCTAGAATGGAGGCAGTGGAGCATCGGGATTAAGCCCATTGTGGATCATAAGAGCTCGCACAAGTCCATCATTGACCTTTGATCCTAACGAATCATCCTCTGTTCTTGACGAATTTCTTGAACTTCAGCTCGGAGTTGGGTCACCTCACCCACCAAATAATCATATGGATGCTCATCAATGTCATCAGCATCATCAGCGGCTGCCGCTTTCATACGCTCATAAAGGGGTTCATCCTCCAAGATCTGTCCAATAGCCAATTGATTGGGATTAATAGGCAACACCTGTTCTCCTTCCACAATTTTCCGAGCCTTCTCTCCAGGTGCAGCCACCACCTTAATATCCATGTGAGAGCGACTACGAATAAGTCAATCTCACCATAGCGAATGTCCCGCTTATAAGACAACTCGTCTGCTGCAACATTTTAGAAGTCGAAAAATAACGAATGCGAAAGGGAAAGCCCAATCTTTGTCATTATCTGGAGTTTTCTTGATCATGAAATCATAAAACTTTCTAATCTGCCCCCAGATGATTGCCGAAAAAGATATCCAATGGCCAAAATGTATAGCATGTAAGGCACGCGAAAAATCTTGCCGATGTTCAAACCGATGACCAAGGGGGCACACATTATGAATAAGAATGGCATCAGTGAACGATAAATGTAGTGGGACGGCCGATTTGGAAGTAGAATTATTCTTTGGCCCTGATAAAATGCAAGTAGAAAGGTGACTGATCATTAGAGGAATAGTCGGATCCTCTGGCATAGGAGTGAAAATTGACTCCAAGTTGGCCGGGATTTGGTGTGGACATCCCATAGCAGTGGCAATAGTCCATGGATCAATTAGGATCATAGTACCATCAAGGGATGAAAGTAGTACTCCCTGTTCATCTGGCTTGGGATGAAGATTCTGATAAAATACCTTGACCAACTTGGGGTAGATGAGTGCACTTGCCGGCTCAAAAGACAATCAGCTTGCCGGCACCGTAAATCCTCAATGAACCATTGAGTTTCTGGGATGGATGCAAATAAGATGGCTGTCAAAACCAAATTCATAATTAAGAGGTCGACCATGCCACCTCTCATCCACGGAGTCTCGAAGAGTTGGCGGCAATTCAGAAGATGGAGTTGGTCTTAAGCGGCTTGTAGAAGCACCACCTTGTGTTGCATTCTTCTTTCTTGAAGCCATTATGAAGAAAAATTCTTTGAGGCTTTTTGTCGAACAGTGGGTGGGCACCTCCAATTCCTTAAGAAATTGCCTTGAATGATTTGAATTTCTTCTCCAAATTGGCACACGAGATGGGTAATAAACTAATGGCAAGGGAAGTGGTTATGGTGAATGATAATTAGAGGAACAATCAATGGTATAATATGGTGAGGAAGGAAGAAGAAAGGAAAGTGGGTATGGGGAAGGAATTCTAATGGGGGTAGGATAGTTGGTTTAGAGAAATTTAGGCAGACGGAATTTGGTGAATGGAAGGTTTGCAAGATGGTAGTGGGTTTATGAAGACTTATGAATATATAGGGGGATGAGGAGTGGGGAAAGATGTAGAAGTGTATAGGAGAATGTATAGGTGGAGTGGGGAAAGCTGATTTTTTTATTTCATTTTATTTTTTATTTTTTTATTTTTTTATAACTGGCATATACACATATGCTTGGTGCCTTTTGATTGGTTGGAGCTAAGAAGGAAAACACTTCAACATGAAGTTTAACTGCAATTTTTTTTTTTTTTGATAATAAACATGAAGTTTAACTGCATTCTACTATGTTAATCTACATTCTAGTACTTTCACTAACTTTTTTGCATTTCAGCAATTTTAAGACTAATTGAACTCCACAAGGTCCACTTTAGGTGTTACAAATTTCATTCTCACCACAAAACCTATATATATATATATATATATATATATATTTGAAATGTACCACAAAACCTATATTGTTAAATATACGATTGTTTGTTTTCCATATGGATGATGTGATTATTGTTCTATATATACTTGACAATAGATTCTGGACAAGTTCTACCCTCTTCTTGCAACCCTGACGGAGATTCAAAAACAAGTACGTACATCCTTGTCTCATACTCTCATCCCCACCCTCAGGTTGTTGGTTTCGGATTGGTTTTCCCTCGTATAGTTTTTGTTAGCAAATGGAAACATGTATGTGCAGGCACTGTTAGAGTTCATACTTACATTTAACTAGCTATATTTTTTTTTATTAAGAGATTGTTGTGGTGGTATAATTTTTGTTTGCAAATGGAAACACGTATCTGCAGGCACTGCTAGAGTTCATGCTTACATTTAAATAGCTTAACTTATTTTACTAAGAGATTGTTTAGGTGGCATTTGGGATATATAGAGTCCACTATTTGGAAGTCCTATTTAGTAGATTTTGTAGAATGGGTAGTCTCATCTTATTTCTTTCACATTTTCACCGGTGTTTTCTTTCAGCACTATGAACCACTAATTGCAGAGGCAAAAAGTAGAAGGGAAAGTTCCAGATCCGAAGCAGTGGAGAAGGCTGTGGCTTCAAAGATGCAGGATATTCAATGTGAACTGGAAAAATTGGTTGAGGTACATAAAATGAAGAAGAGGTAAGTTTTCTTTTTACTCAATAGTCCAAGCATTTAGAGTCTGCACAATGTATCAAAGACTCCACGTCTATCTTATTTATATAGTCAGGCACAAGTCCTAACCCTTATTAACATCTCTCGTGTCTTAGACAAATAAAGAGCTTGTGAAAAACCTAGATGTCTTGCAGAAAATGGTCAAGGAACACAAGGAGAGGTACATTGTCTTCCCTCCAGTTTTGCATACATAATTACATATTAATGTTTTCTAATCATGATACTAATTAGGAGGTTTCTAAAATTAAATGTTGTCTGTGTTTGCAGACAACTGTTTGGTACTTGCTAATGATTTAGTTTGGTGCCGATATATATTTTCAAGCAGGAAAGTTCATCCATATTTATATTTATTTAATTTAATAATATACTGCCAAATGATGAATTCATCATCATCTTTTTTGTATTCCTCTTTATCTTGAATGCATGCTAAAAAGTAACAAGGCAATTGCTAAGAAAACACCCAATAATGGTGTGACGATGGTATGTGTGATGAGAGCTAATATGTGCTGCTAATCACGCGAGTATGAATGAGATGTGCCAATTTTGGACGATATTTTAATAATTCGTGTACTTTCAGGGATTATCCATCACTACTGAGGTCCAGAGATGAGAAGATAGCCGATCTGGAAGAACAGGTATTGGTGGTGGTGTTTTCTTATTTCAACATTGTGGTTAATTTTCACACCGTGGCAAATATCTGCTTGTATTTAATTCTTACATTGCTTGGCTTCATTGTAATTATGAATATTGGTCACAGATTAGAGTCTTAAAAGTCTATCTTGAAGGCCAAAGGACACTTGCCAACATGACCGATTCAGATGGCATCAAAGGGGAAACCCTTGCCCCGCCAATTCCAGAAGGCGCACCAAGTTGAGTCGAAGTAGGAACTAATAGATAAAATGTGCATTTGCTGAGTGGTTTTCTTCTACCGGAAATGATGAAACAGATATTGGTGTCTTTCTTTTTCTTTTTTTTTTTTTGGTATATATCATTTCCTTGTTTTTTTTTTTTTATGTGTAATGTTTTGTTCATTAACAAAGTTTGCAAAAATTGAAAAACAATTCCATCATTTCAGATTTCTACCGAACATTCTTGTCTGGAACTAATGTCATTGGTCATCAATAGTCCACTTGAGGGCTGCCACAGTTGTGGTACAACACTAGCAGTTAGTTGCCTGCAATAGGCATATTGTATAAGCAGATCGAAAAGTTATGGATATTAATGAAACAAAATTACAATGCAACTTTCTAGGCGCACATGACTTGTTACCTTCCTAGTTGAGCTTCGATCATTCCTTTGCCGTTTCCACAGCTTGTGAACAGCATTGCCTGCTAGTGCCAGAATTTGTATACATCAACCTAGAAACCTGGACGAAATGGACAGAAGCATTAAGAAGTGATAATTCAATAGTTTCTTATACGCTTGAACAGATTGGATCCATACCCTCATTGCCGTTAAATTGTCTGGGAGCCTTAGGGAGCGGCATTGTGATTTCTGTCAGTTTCCAAATCCTAGATTTATCTACTGTTTCATCAGCAATTAATTCTGGGGGTTATCCCCATTCTAAATGCACAAAGCATATCTACATCTAAGAGCGCATAGATATCTATGTCATATGAAACAATATGCATGTATTACATTAACAACATCAACAAATGAAGATGCTCCTTTTGTAATCCAGATTCCCCATGATGGAGAGAGTAATACTTACCATTGCAACCATGGATGACATTGGAGCAGCTCGATCAACGATGCTTGATCCAACAGTTGCATTAGGAGCACCAAACCTGCTCATTGTGGGAGCCTGTACATATATGAAGCAACTCTGTCTAGAAGGATTTACAGAAACTCTACGCAGAACCAAACGTGTCCAATTACCTTCACCACAGCTGCAGAGGCAACTCTAGAAGGATCAAATGAGCGATTTTCCACAGTTCGTAGTATCCAAATGCCATCTGCATTTGCTAGAATTTGTAGAAACAGCCAACAATATACCTTCCTTGTTAAATCGGATACAGGGAGAATCCTGGTTAAATAATTAAAAACCATGAGACTTGGTTACGAGGGATTTTTTGAAAAAAGAAATATATTGAACAACACATATCTTACATTTACCGTTAGTCCACCCTCTGCATCAGTGGTTGTCAATAAGTTAACACTGTCCATGTCCCAAAATTTGACCCTGAACTCATCACCAGCAGCCAAGAATCGATTTTTTGTGGTATCAAATTAATTGAACAGCTCCAGCAGATCGCTTGCCAAGACCATGATATGTACGCTTGACGGCTCCCTTGCTTTCATTCCATTACACAATGAATGAATCTCTTTCTTTATTGGTCCCACGTGAGAACAACCTATGAGTTGCCCATCATATAGGTGTATTTGCAATTGGGTTTTGAAGAGCTTAAACCTACATCGGTTGTGTTGCAACTTGCTGATCAATTATGAAACAATCACGCGAGATAATTGAAGATATTCTCATTAAAGTGGACAAGTTCTCTTTTTCGGTAGACTTTCTTGTTCCTGATACAGAGGCTGTCCACGATCCCAATAGATGTATTCCAGTGATCCTTGGTCGTCCATTTTTAATTTTTAGTTACAGCAAATGCCAACATTAATTGTAGAACTGAGGTTATTGATATTTCTTTTGGTAACATGAAGGTCAAATTAAACATTTTCAACACCACTCCATATTCTTCGGAAAAAGATGACTGAATCCTCATCAATGATATTTCTTTTGAGAACATGAAAGTCAAATTAAACATTTTCAACACCACTCCATATTCTTCGGAAAAAGATGAGTGTTTCCTTATCAATGTAATTGATGAGGATTCAGTCATAGTCTTTCCAACAAAAGAATCTCTTCCTTTGATTTCGATTTCTCCTCCTTGTTCTTCTCTTGAGTCTACTCACAAACTTGAGCCTAAGCCACCACCGAATAAGCTTAATATTCTTTCTTAGGTCCCAACAGTGGCGGATCCAAACTTGAGCCTAAGCCACCACCGAATAAACTAGAGATGTTATTTTTAACATTCATCACTTATATGGTAATATTGTTCTAATCCTTTTTTATTTTTTATTTTTGTTCTCGTTGCACATTGAGGACAATGTACAGTTTGTAAGACAATATAATTGTAAATTTGTTGATTAATTCCACACTTTTTGAAAAAATTTGTAATTTTTGAATGGTAGAGTTGAAAGCATGTGGTTTTTAGCAATGATTTTTTTTGTTTCTATGTGAAGTTAGTTTGGTATCCTAAAACAATTTTTAATATATTAATACATCATGTATGTAGTATTAATGCTATTTTGGGGATAAATTGAATTTTTTTGACATTGTGTTTCCACGTAGTGGTCCACATTATTGGTGTTTCCACATTCTCATGATTTCCGCCTTCTAGAGTACTTCACCTTCACATGAGCTGTAACGACCCTAGCTGATGCAAAAATTTTAAAAAAATTCGGCATAACCTACCCTAAAAATGGGCCTTCAACAACCTGTCCCAATACACAAAACACATAAAATCATCTAGCATCCCATTCATCCGTTCATTATACCTTAACATAGTTCCTTTCATGGTAGAACATCCACACACCAATTAATCTAAATTATCATAATTACAGTCCCAAAATACATGGTTAAGATTTAAAATCCCTGTCTTACAACGTTACATGATACAATTGCATGGAAACATATACCATAATTCCACTAGTTTCATTTACATCAAACAAAAGATAAGTTCGTTCTTAAGTTACAAGGCCATGAATACTAACTTAGTTACATTTCCACAACTATGAATATACATAGAATGGTTAAAATACAAAATAGCAAACAACCTTTTAACAACTTTCAAGTTTGCGGAGGATTGTCATCCGCCGTTTCTTTGCCATGACCTGAAAATAATAATAAGTATGCAGGGTGAGCTATATGCTCAGTAGGTGACACTTAAGACACGCATCTTGTGTCCCCGTGAATCCAAACATAGAATAGGTCCATGGGAATGGAGATCATACAATATCGGGATAATACAACATTCCAATCAAACTCAAGTACAAACAATGCAATGCCATGAAATGCGAATGCATGCCGATGTCGCTCCCCGTTTTCACATTTAAAATCCATCACTTTCAAACTGTTAATATAACCCGCCCTTTGGTGACCCCGCAGCGACACGAGAGGAGGATTGGCTAGTGTCCCTGACCCTTGGTAACCCCGCGGCGTCATTATGGGGCCCAGCTAGCTCAACCACGCTAGGGCGACTCCCTAGTCCCCTCTAGGCTATATTAACACTCCGGCCCTTTGGTACCCCCGCGGCGACCGGGTTTTCCAAAAACACTGTCATCAAAATACTTTTCCCCAAAACTCCCTATTTTCATTTTAAAAACAATTTTCCCAATCATGTCTCATGGTATGCATGTACATCATGTTCTTAATGCCATGGAAGTGAAGGCTTTCACATTATACAATTGTGCATACATTACAAGTACTCTAGGAAAATTACATATGCCATCCCATATCATTCTAGCAAGTTTTACAACAATATAAACATGGTAAATCAATTTATTAGACAAGGAAATTAGTCAAATAAACATATTCTCATACAACTCAAGTAACACATTTAATCATAACCTCACATATAACACTTACATCATATTTAATACAATTAATTCAAAAATAAGCATGCTTTTCAACAATTTAGGAGGTATAATTTACAAAAGAGCAAGAACATCATGAGTTAAGGGCCCCTACCTCAAGATTGCACAAAACCCTTAAAATAGGTCCTTAAATTCAAGCTCCCAAAGAGGACCAAAAGCTGGAATTTCTGGTACTAACACGTAGAGCTCGTCGTGCTAGTCGTTTTGCCTCAAACGGCACCTAAATCCGCCAAGAATTGAGAGAGAAATCAAGGATTGAAGTTGAAAAAGAAAAAAGAAAAGAAAAAAAACAGAAATAGCGAGAGAGAGACATAAGCTGCCCGAGAGAGAAAGCAAATTGGAATTAAATGGGTCTGTAATGACCCTTATATCTCAGGTGGGCCCCACAGTTGAAAAGTCATTATACTAATTATATATATAGATAAGTCAAAAACTTTACATTCTCCCAAATTTTAAAAGGTTTCGTCCCCGAAATCAAGACATACCTGGAGAAGAAAACAACTCTGGATACTTGGAGCGAACCTCTTGTTCGAGCTCCCAAGTAGCCTCCTCGACTCCGTGGTGTCTCCAAAGGACTTTCACCATTGACATCGTCTTGTTCCTCAACACCTTTTGTTGTGTGTCAAGAATCTGAACTGGTCCTTCCTCGTAGGAAACATCCTCATCAATGTCTACATCAACCTAACTCAAAATGTGAGATGGATCTGGCTCGTACTTCTGTAACATCGATACATGAAAAACATTGTGGACCCTGTCCAACTGTGGTGGTAAAGCAAGTCTGTAGGCAACCTCTCCTACACGGTCCAAAATCTCAAATGGTCCAATGAATCGTGGCGACAACTTGCCACTTTTTCCGAATCTCATCAATCCCTTCCGTGGAGAAACCCGAAGAAAAACGTGGTCTCCCACCTCAAAGGATAACGACCGTCTCCGCTTATCCGCATAACTCTTCTGTCGGCTCTGAGCTGTAAATAACCTCTGTCTTATCAACTTAATCTTCTCAGTAGTCTCGAGAACAATGTCAGGTTCTAAGGCGGCTGTCTCACCTACCTCAGTCCAACAAACAGGAGACCTACAAAGTCTACCATACAACGCCTCAAATGGAGCCATTTGAATGCTCGCCTGATAACTGTTGTTGTAGGCAAATTCAATAAGTGGAAGGTGATCCTCCCAACTACCACCCAAGTCAAGCACACATGCCCGAAGCATATCCTCCAAAATCTGGATAGTACGCTCCGACTGACCGTCAGTCTGTGGATGGAATGCCGTATTCAGGTGCAACGCTGAGCCAAACGCTGCTTGAAGTCCTTCCCAGAACTTCGAAGTGAACTTAGCATCCCTATCTGAAACAATGGTTACTGGAACTCCATGCAACCTTACAATCTCCTTCACATAAGGAACACCAAGCTTCTCTGCATCATCTGTTGCCTTAATAGGCAAAAAGTGAGCCGTTTTGGTCAATCTGTCAATGATGACCCATACGGACTCATTGCCCCTTCGTGACCTTAGAAGACCTGTCACAAAATCCATAACAATATGCTCCCATTTCCATTGCGCTACAGGTAATGGTTGCAACAAACCGGCTGGTCTCTGATGTTCGGCCTTCACCTGCTGACAGGTAAGGTATCTA